CCCCGTGTCCCTCAGTGTCTTCCCTCCACCCCCCCAAAAAATCTATCCATCTCCCAGCCTTCCGCACTCTCCCCATACTCCTCAATCCCTTCAGTGTCTCCCCACAAAATCTATCCATATTCCATTTTGAATCTACTAAGCAACTGGGAGGGATTCAGTGATGGGAACATCATTGAATGTCAAGGGGGTCGATGGTTAGATTGTCTCTTGTTGGTGATGGGCATAGCCTGGCATTTGTGTGGGGCGAATGTCACTTGTCAGCCTAAGCCTGGATATTGTCCAGATCTTGTTGCTTTTGAACACGGACTGTCCCAGTATCTGAGGAGTCACGAACGGTGCTGAACGTTGTGTAACCATCAGCGAACACCCCCCATTTCTGACTTTCTGATGGAGGGAAGGTCATCGATGAAGCAGCTGACGCTGGTTGGGCCAGATTCCTGCTCCCTGTGACACAGAGCGAGGTTTCAGTGGGAGGGAGGGTGGAGTGATGTGGCTTGGGATTTCTGACGGTGTCCCTCGGGTTTCAGAGCAAGCCAGCAAGCACGCCAACCCCGCCGAGACCCCAGACACAGCCCAGCCCGTCCATCATGGTGACTCCAGGACAGAGTGCCATCTACAACACTCAGTACATCTCCTACGTGCACGGCATTCACCATGGGCTGCACGTGAACCCTGCTGTGCAGGTAAGTGTCTACCTGCACCAGCCCACGCTGTCTCTCTACCTACCCTCCCCACCCCCTGCACATCTCCTCCTTATCCCCACCGCTCCGTTCCAACTCTGACCCCCTCCCCGACCCACCCTTCCTCGCTGTGCCCCACTCTCTGATGTGTATTTATGAATCTGTCTCTCTCAGGGTCCCCAAGTTTACCAGTATACCATTCCTCCTGTACAAGTCAGCCAGAGTAAACCCTTCAGGAGCACTAAAGGCAAGTGGCAGAGTCGCTGAGGGCCTGAGCTGAGAACGTGTGAGACAGGCCGACTGCAGATGGACACTGCACTCGGAGCGCCGTGCACGGTTCCGGTCCCGGTCCCGGTTACCGTGCATTCGGAGCGCCGCGCACGGTTCCGGTCCCGGTCCCGGTTACCGTGCACTCGGAGCGCCGCGCACGGTTCCGGTCCCGGTTACAGCGCACTTGGGAGCACCGCGCATGGTTCCGGTCCCGGTTACAGCGCACTTGGGAGCGCCGCGCACGGTTCCGGTCCCGGTTAGGCCGCACTCGGAGCACCGTGTATGGTTCCGGTCCCGGTTAGACCGCACTCGGAGCACCGTGTATGGTTCCGGTCCCGGTTAGGCCACACTCGGAGCACCGTGTATGGTTCCGGTCCCGGTTAGGCCGCACTCGGAGGGCTGTGTATGG